TATTATTATTATTATTATTATTATTATTATTATTATTATTATTATTATTATTATTATTATTATTATTATTATTATTATTATTATTATTATTATTATTATTATTATTATTATTATTATTATTATTATTATTATTATTATTATTATTATTATTATTATTATTATTATTATTATTATTATTATTATTATTATTATTATTATTATTATTATTATTATTATTATTATTATTATTATTATTATTATTATTATTATTATTATTATTATATTATTATTATTATTATTATTATTATTATTATTATTATTATTATTATTATTATTATTATTATTATTATTATTATTATTATTATTATTATTATTATTATTATTATTATTATTATTATTATTATTATTATTATTATTATTATTATTATTATTATTATTATTATTATTATTATTATTATTATTATTATTATTATTATTATTATTATTATTATTATTATTATTATTATTATTATTATTATTATTATTATTATTATTATTATTATTATTATTATTATTATTATTATTATTATTATTATTATTATTATTATTATTATTATTATTATTATTATTATTATTATTATTATTATTATTATTATTATTATTATTATTATTATTATTATTATTATTATTATTATTATTATTATTATTATTATTATTATTATTATTATTATTATTATTATTATTATTATTATTATTATTATTATTATTATTATTATTATTATTATTATTATTATTATTATTATTATTATTATTATTATTATTATTATTATTATTATTATTATTATTATTATTATTATTATTATTATTATTATTATTATTATTATTATTATTATTATTATTATTATTATTATTATTATTATTATTATTATTATTATTATTATTATTATTATTATTATTATTATTATTATTATTATTATTATTATTATTATTATTATTATTATTATTATTATTATTATTATTATTATTATTATTATTATTATTATTATTATTATTATTATTATTATTATTATTATTATTATTATTATTATTATTATTATTATTATTATTATTATTATTATTATTATTATTATTATTATTATTATTATTATTATTATTATTATTATTATTATTATTATTATTATTATTATTATTATTATTATTATTATTATTATTATTATTATTATTATATTATTATTATTATTATTATTATTATTATTATTATTATTATTATTATTATTATTATTATTATTATTATTATTATTATTATTATTATTATTATTATTATTATTATTATTATTATTATTATTATTATTATTATTATTATTATTATTATTATTATTATTATTATTATTATTATTATTATTATTATTATTATTATTATTATTATTATTATTATTATTATTATTATTATTATTATTATTATTATTATTATTATTATTATTATTATTATTATTATTATTATTATTATTATTATTATTATTATTATTATTATTATTATTATTATTATTATTATTATTATTATTATTATTATTATTATTATTATTATTATTATTATTATTATTATTATTATTATTATTATTATTATTATTATTATTATTATTATTATTATTATTATTATTATTATTATTATTATTATTATTATTATTATTATTATTATTATTATTATTATTATTATTATTATTATTATTATTATTATTATTATTATTATTATTATTATTATTATTATTATTATTATTATTATTATTATTATTATTATTATTATTATTATTATTATTATTATTATTATTATTATTATTATTTATTATTATTATTATTATTATTATTATTATTATTATTATTATTATTATTATTATTATTATTATTATTATTATTATTATTATTATTATTATTATTATTATTATTATTATTATTATTATTATTATTATTATTATTATTATTATTATTATTATTATTATTATTATTATTATTATTATTATTATTATTATTATTATTATTATTATTATTATTATTATTATTA